GCTGCATGTGCATCGCCCTTTGATCTGTATTTACCAATTGCAGGTTCCGTTGGAAGTAGTGGCACCACTTGACTGTGAGAAGATGGATGGTTTAAAACTTGGCTTGTCTGGTGACCACCAGTTCATCAATGCTGGTCTTGCTGTTTCCCTTTCTAAATGTTGGCTTCAAAGAACGGGGAATTGGGAAAAACTTTTTGGAAAACAAGATAACCTGGAAAGCGATTTACCAGCGGCATTTCGTAGAGGTCTTTCAACAGCACATCTTTCTGGGAGAGCTCAGATTGTTTATGATACTTCTTTGAAGTCTTGCAATTCATCAGAAGTGTCTGACAGTTCTTGTGGAGATCTAATTTTCTACTTGGATGGAGCTCACAGTCCTGAGAGCATGGAGGTTTGTGGAAGATGGTTCTCTAGTGCAGTAAAGGGAAACCGGAAAGCATCATCTTGTTTTACGGTTGAAAACATGGTGCAGGTTTGGGGGAACGGTCACCTCCAATATGGAACAGAAAAAAGGGATAAGTCTTACAAAATATCAAAGCAGGTAAAACCAATACAGATTGCAATTTACTTTAAGTGATAGATGTCTTGAGATATCCATGGACAGCTCTTAGTGACCTGAATGTCTCAGTTAATGTCTTATCATATCAACTGAATGATTCTCATCTACAGTTCGTTTATGCTGATATAATAATTGGTCCTTGTATGTCATCTTTATACCTTGTAGATTCTTTTATTCAATTGCATGGAGGTTAGAGACCCTCAAGTATTGCTTCCAAAGCTTGTAAGCATGTGTGCTTCTTCAGGTATTGCTGATTCACATACAGTTAATTAGTCAATTCCACCTCTTTGTTCTTCTCAGTTCTTAAAAACTACTTGTTTTCTTCAAGAAGCTTTGAGATATTGGTGTCAAATTTTATCTCTTCCTCTAAAAGGGGAAGGTTGTGTGAACATGTGGGTGGGGAGTTGGGGATGGGGCAGTGGTAGCCAGCTATCTTTGTCAGCAGAAAAGAAAGAGGCAATTGTCGGTTTCCTTTTTAGACCTTACATATGATATCAGTATTCTATAAAACCGTACTAACGTATAAGCTCAATACAATACAGCAAAAACTCATTGTTAGTATAAATTTGAGAATATATTGCCAGTATTCTCTACTACCAATTGCATGGCGTCAAGATTAGTTAGGTGGTCTGTTGAAACTTTGAGCATGACATCCTGTAAATGTAGTTTGTTTGTCTTTTTCTTTTTTCGCTGCTATTTTTTTCCTAAGGATATATATATATATATACACACAGAGAGCCATTGAGGGATCCCTCAAATTAGCTTATTTGAGGGACACCTTTGTAGGGCCCACTTCACATTGTATTTCACTAATCCAAATCGTCTATGTTTTAGATAATCATTCAAAGATCATCTCTACAAAAAATTGCTTAAATCCGATATCGTTTGACCACTCAATTGTGTTATTGAAATTTTAGTACTTTCTTGAAGCACCGTGTTCATTGATTTTGTAGGATACAATTGGATGTCGAAACGTTTTCCGATTTGTCTAATTTTTTTGCAAGGATGATCTATGAATGTAGACTTAAAAAATAGATGGTTTGGATTGTTGGAAAAAAAATCGTGCCTCAAATAAAATTATTTAAGGGATCCCTCAATAGAAGGGGACTATATATATATGTATATTTCTATGGTTATGAGAGTTGAAACTGATGCCTCAGGATTTGTTATAATATTTCTCAGGTACTCATTTCTCAAAGGCCCTTTTTGTCCCAAGTATGTCAACTTATAACAAAGTTACTTCTGCTGCCTCAGTCATTCCTGCCGATAACTGTAGCAGGGACCTGTCGTGGCAGTTCAACCTCCAGAGACTTTGGGAGAAGATGATCCATGGTAAGGGTATGTACTTTGGTTTCCTTGAAAGCTTCAATTGCATTTTAATTGGTTATTTTGTGGTGTTTGCTTATTTACACCCCTGATAATAATGATAAGGTATATTATGTATACATTACATGCACGTATGTATTTATGTTAGACACATGCAGGCACAGACACATTTTCCTGACCATTAATTTAAAAAAAGAAAGAAAGTAGAAAGGTCAATCAAAACATTTCATGGCTCTTATGAGGCCCATGAAACTGAGATGGAATGTTTGTGATTTGCACCTGATCTTGGTCTTTGAGAGGTGGTGTTGGAAATGGATGCTAAGGTTGAAATTGCTAGTATTACATCACTGTAATGAGTTTACTGGACCTGATGGTGTCTTGGTTGAGGAGGTTAAATATCTGCTTCACCAATTTCGGAAAGCTTTGTGTTGCTGGGGGCTTGCAGCTGCAAACATGTTGCTCACGCTCTGGCTCAGTTTGCTTTAAGTTGTGAGGATTTCGTTTCTTGGGTTGAAGATACTCCTCTTTGGCTGCATCCTCTTCTGTCCCATGATATCAACTAGGGTTTCCTTTTGGATGAAATGTTCATCCCGAGAAAAAAAGAAAAAAAAGTAG